CCACTGGACTGTTTTGGATTGCTAGCTATGGGGGGGGGGAATGCACAGATCTACCCTCACAGAGGAGGGAGATCTTGTACCTGAATAAAACTTGGTCTTAAAGGTGCCACTGGACTGTTTTGGATTGCTAGCTATGGGGGGGGATGTGCAGATCTGTCCTCGCAGAGGAGGGAAAGCTTGTACCTGAATAAAACTTGGACTGTTTTGGACCGGGGGGGGGCCTCTGCAGCTTACCTGGTTGCTTCTTGCTCTGACTGAGGGCTGCTGGGAGCAGGGGGCGGGGTTTGTTGCATGTGCCCGTCCCCTGGGCTCTTTACTGCCGGAGCTCCGCTCCTGTGCGCTCCTGCAGGAAATGACCCCTGCATGCAAGATATCTAAGGGACCGCCTCTTCCCATATACGCCTCGAAGAGTGTTACGCTCAAAAGATTAACACCTCCTGGTGGTCCTTGGCCAGAAGGACGCCCATCTTGCCTCAAGCAGGGCCAGGGCTTTCTCTGTCCTGGCCCAACCTGGTGGAAGATGCTCCCTATTGAGACCAGAGCCCTGCGGGATCTCCTTCAATTCCGCAGGGCCTGCAAGACGGAGCTCTTCCGCCAGACCTTTGGTTGAGGCGGTGGGTGCCCATCTATGGCCTCACCTGTCTGTCACCTGTCCACTGACCAATGACATATGGCCTTTAAACTCTATGGCCAACTTATGTTGTTCCAAGCTGTACACATTGTTTTAATTGTTATCGTGTTTTATCGTGTTTTAATGTTCATTGTTTCAAACTGAAACTGTATTCATTTTAATGATGTTACCTGCCCTGAGCCCGCCCACAGGATGGGCGGGATATAAATGCAAATAGTAAATAAATAAATGGCACAGTCAGAGGCACCAGTAAATTCACCTGTCGCCCTTGGGCAGCACGTCTCCGTTTGGGGAAGAGCAGTGTCAGACTTTCCGCTGCGTCATGGGCGCTGCTGTAGGAAGCTAACAACGTATGCCTTGATTTGCAGAAGGCAGGAAGCATACTTTGTCCCTTTGACCCCTGGGAACAGCGTTGCCCCATTTGTTGGGGTGGGAAACTTTGTTTCCAGGGGCATCCTTACCACAAAAAGGTAAAGGTATAGGCTTCCTTTGCTCGAAAGCCAGTCAAATCCGACTCTAGGGGTGCGGTGCTCATCTCCGTTTCCAAGCCGAAGAGCCAGCCCTGTCCGAAGATGTCTCCATGGTCATGCAGCCGGCATGACTAAACGGTAAGGTGCACGGAACGCTGTTCCCTTCCCACCAAAGCGGTCCCTATTTATCTACTTGCCATTTCTTGCTTTCGAACTGCTTGGTTGGCAGGAGCTGGGGCCGGAGCCGGGAGCTCACTCCATCACGCGGCACTCGGGTCTCGAGTTGCCAAGCTACCGACCTTCCGGTCTGCAGCTCAGCGTCTTAACCTCTGAGCCACCGCGGCCCGTCCTTACCACGCTCACTTGCAAAACATCCACCCTCTTTTTTTGGTACAGTTGTAACCTACTGCAGGGGTCCCCAACATGGTGCCCCTGGGTGCTGTGCGGCGTTGCCAGCCCCTTTCCTGTCACCGGTCAGGTGTTTTTATAAAGTGGGCTGGGTCAGGTGGGTTTTTTGCCCTGCAGGGCTTTGGATGGCCCTTTGGATATTTGATTGGCTGTGCAGGTTCTTAAAAACGTCGCCTTGGCAGCAGCTGCCTCCACAACCCAAGGATCTTCACTGTGTAACTGGAGGTAATATACGGCAGCCATTTTGTGGCTGTGCCAGCAGAAAAGAAGAGAAGAGATTGGATTTAGACCCTGCCCTTCACTACCCAAGGGAGTCTCTGAGCAGCTTACAATCCCTTTTCCCTTCCCCTCCCCATAACAGACATCCTGTTGAGCCAGTTTGGTGTAGTGGTTAAGTGCGCGGACTCTGATCTGGGAGAACCGGGTTTGATTCCCCACTCCTCCACTTGCACCTGGCTGGATGACCTTGGGCCGGCCATAGTTCTGTCAGAGCTGTTGTTGAAAAAGAGCCGTTTCTGTCAGAGCTCTCTCAGCCCCACCTACCTCGCAGGGTGTCTGTTGTGGGGAGGGGAAGGGAAAGGAGTTTGTCAGCCGCTCCTTTGGGTAGTGAAGGGCGGGGTATAAATCCAATCTCTTTTTCTTCTGTGAGGTCGGTGGGGCTGAGAGAGCTCTGACATAAACGGCTCTCTCTCAAGAACAGCTCTGACAGAACTACGGCTTGCCCAAGGTCATCCAGCAGGTGCAAGCGGAGGAGTGGGGAATCAAACCCGGTTCTCCCAGATTGTAGTCCGCGCACTTAACCACGACACCAGACCTTCTTATTGTTATTTTCTCTTGATCCTCAAGTGGAGACCTTTTTTTTTGGTTGTGCCCACCGCGCTGTGTCAGAATTCCAAAGCTGCCGTCCTGCCCCAAAAGGTTGTGCCTCCCCCCCCCATCTACTGTATATTCCTACAGACTCTAGGATTTATTTTCAGCTCAGGAAGACACCAAGCTGCCTTCTACAGAATCAGAGCCTCAGCCCATCAAAGTTGGTATTGTCAGATTGGCGGCAGCTCTACAGGGTCTCAGGCGGAGCTCATTGTAATTAAATCGTTTTACTCGCCCGCAGGCTTTGAAACAGTGTGTAGTTCCACCGGCTTTGCCCTTGTCAAAAGACAAGGCTGTGAACAACCTGGCTGTCTTTTCAAACTCCACTCAGAGAATTTTGGTCGGGCCAAGAGAATGAATAACAGGGACCAGTGTTCCCTCTAAGCTGAGTTGGTGTGAGCTAGCTCACAGTTTTTTAGCCTCCAGCTCACAGATTTTTGCCTTAGCTCAGGAAGGATGGCCTCAAAGCAAACTAATTTATGCAGCAACCTAATGGCTCGCTCACAACTTTAATGTGCATAGCTCACAAAGTAGGATTTTTGCTCACAAGACTCCATAGCTTTCTCAAGAACCCCCCCCACACACACACACCG